ACTGATTGGTTCAAAATTGGGAAAGGAGTATGACAAGGCTGTATATTGTCTCCCTGCTTATTTAACTTACATGCAGAATACATCATGCAAAAGCCTGGACTGGAGGAATCCCAAACCGGAATTAAGATTGCCGGAAGAAATATCAACAACATCAGATATGTAGATGATAGCACTCTGATGGCAGAAAGTGAGGAGGAATTAAAGAACCTCTTAATGAGGATGAAAGAGGAGAGTGAAAAAAATGGTCTGAAGCTCAATGTCAAAAAACCCCTAAGATCATGGCCACTGGTCCCATCACCTCATGGCAGATAGAAGGGGAAGATATGGAGGCAGTGACAGATTTGACTTTCTTGGGCTCTATGATCACTGGAGATGGGGACAGCAGCCACGAAATTAAAAGATGCCTGCTTCTTGGGAGGCAAGTGATGACAAACCTAGACAGCATCTTAAAAAGCAGAGACATCACCTTGCCAACAAAGTCCCACATAGTCAAAGCTATGGTTTTTCCAGTAGCGATGTATGGAAGTGAGAGCTGGACCATAAATAAGGCTGACCGCCAAAGAATTGATGCTTTTGAATTGTGGTGCTGGAGGAGAATCTTGAGAGTCCCCTGGACTGCAAAGAGAACAAATCTATCCATTCTGAAGGAAATCAACCCTTAGTGCTCACTGGAAGGATAGATCCTTAAACTGAGGCTCCAATACTTTGGCCATCTCATGAGAAGAGAAGACTCCCTGGAAAAGATCCTGATGTTGGGAAAGTGTGAAGGTAAGAGGAGAAGGGGATGACAGAGGACAAGATGGTTGGACAGTGTCACTGAAGCTACTAACATGAATTTGACCCAACTCCGGGAGGCAGTGGAAGACAGGAGGGCCTGACGTGCTCTGGTCTATGGGGTCATGAAGAGTTGTGGCCAGATCTCCTCCTTAACAAAAGCTTGGAAGAACACGGGCCAAACAGAACATCTGAAAATCAGAAACTAAGCACAAGGGGGCAGGGGTACGGCAGATTTGCATCTCAGGCATTTGAAAACACGATATAATAGAACCTTGGTTTACGAATTTAATGCGTTCTCCAGGATGTTATGTAATGTGAATAATTAGTAAACTGAAACACAGATTGCCATAGGAATGGGGGCAGCACTATAAACCTCCAGGCACAATGCACCCTGGGGAAACTTTCTTCGTGAACCGAAACAAACAAACAAAACGTAAACCGAGGTGTTATTTTCAATGGATTTCCATTTGTAAACTGAAGTTATGTTAACTGAGGCATTTGTAAACCGAGGTACTACTGTATAAAACTACTTGTCCACTGGTGGAATGCCTTTATCCTAGTGCAGAGGCTAGAAGAAGCAGGGGTGGGGTAAAGAAATCCAATTCTGTGTGCATTTAGATACGTGGGGAGTCTGCGCGCATACATCCACACACATTCACTTTTTCATTTGGTAGAGCTCCTATAGCTTGTCATCCCTTTCTTTAAAAATGTAACATTATATTTCTCATGACTCTCAAAATTTGTGTGTGTGCTCAGGGAGAAGGGTAACCTGCAGATGGAACAAGAAATAAAGGGAGCCCTGATGCAATTCTGATGGGCGCAGAAAGTGTCCTGATAAGGAGAATACCAGCTGCTGAGGTTCATGCTTTCAATGTGGCAGCAAATCAGGAGCAAGAGGTCTGTAGAACTGAGTAGGTAGAAAAGGCAGGCAGGGAACACACACACACACGAACACACACACACACACTTACATACTGGCAACAACCACAAGAGGTATGTCTCACTGGGCTTCTTTCTGATGCATTCCTTTTACCATACAAGACCTTGTTTAAATAATCTAATGTTTGTGAAATTGTGCAATTGAACTGGCAGTGGAATCAAACACTTGATGCTCATGAAACATTAAACTTGCTTTCTGGTGCTTATGATTTACAGACTACAGTGGTGCCTTGCATAACGCGCGTACCATTTAACGATGAATTCGCATAGCGATCCGTTTTTTGGGATCGCTAATGCGATCGCATACCGATGGTTCCAATGGGCAAAAATCGCTTTGCGACAATCGGTAAGCGTTTCACTTACCGATCTTCGCATTGCGATGTCGGGGGCACAGCTGTTCGGCGGTTCCAAAATGGCCGCCGGAAGACCCAAAATGGCCATGCGCAGCGTTTTCGCGCCCTGCCCTCGCTTACCGAGGGCGCGAAAATGCCTGTGCTATGGAGGAACATCGCTGAACAGTGAGTTTGGGGCCCATTGGAACGCATTAAATGAAGTTTAATGTGTTCCAGTGGGTTTTTCTATTCCGTTTAGCGATGTATCCGAATAGCGATGGTTAATCCGGAACGGATTAACCTCACTATGCGGGGCACCACTGTATATTCCTACTTACTGACTGAAACAGTATCTTCCAAATGGGTAGCACAAACTAAATGGGACTATTATGTAATTGTATCTCAGTGGCTATAGAAAGAGATACTTGAGCAAGCAGACATTGACTTTACCTTGAGATATCTTCATCCGCTGTGAGTTCTTGTTCCATTAATAAAAATACCTGGACCTGAAAGTTGAAATTTCGCATTTTATACACATTCTTCTCCAATCTCGTGGAAAAACACTTCCCAAAGGCACAGAGACCACACCTTTGGCTGGCTGGGTTAACCATATCTCATTAAACAAAGAAAAAACTAACCCTCGTATCAAAGAGTGGCCCTCAACCCTCACCATATGCCCATTCTTCAAATGCTATGACACACTGTGGCAGCAAACATACGAAAGACCCATGCCATCACAGCACAGGAGCAGCCGCATCAACCCCCATAGTCCTGCAGAGCTTCAGGCCTGTGCCTCCAGAGAAAGAAGGGGCAGAAGCGTTTGGGAGGAGTGGCAGTCATGGACCAACTGAGAGGTCTCCAAGAATCCAAACTCCTTGCAGATACACCATGAATCCAAAGACAAAAGTCTTACAAAGTACTTCATAGACTGATAAGGCCTCAATCTATATAGTTATTTACATTATTTCTTACTATGCCATTCATAACTGCAGCGTTTGCTGCTCAAAATAAGGCTCCACAAAACATCTTAACCTATTTTTTGTTAAGGCAAACTGATGAGGAGGAAGCCATATAAATGTAAGTCTGTACATTGGTTTTCTTCAACCCAGATAGGAGGACGACGATTCTTCCATGAAACACAGATTTGGATGGAGAACTTCTCTTTCCAGACATCATGTCATTAATTAAGATGAGAAACAGCTGATGTACAGCCATGGAGACGTCTTACTAATGGAAAATCAGTTGTGCAAGAACATCCAAATTGGCCCATAAATTAAGTTCAGATTGCTCATAATCACTATCCACATTTCTGTACATGGAAAATCCCCCCCACCCCGTTTAATATTAGTAAACGACTGAGTGCTATACCTGGAACTGGTTTGTTGTGTGCTTAATTCTAATTGTATTCCCTTTCCCTCCCCAGGATTTTTTTTTAAAAGTAGACATGCACAAGTGAAATACAGGGACCAAGATATGCAAAGTAAGAAACATTGTAATGTACATCTATACGCCACATGGTTGTCTTCAAACAAGAGTCTGTCCCAAGCATTCAGAATTTCCTTTGGAATCGCTGTGTACTTCGGCATTGCTGTTCTTAATGAACAACAACCAAAAAAAGCCCTTACGTGTGCCCTTGGGTGCTATTAGATCTTCTTGTAAGAAATATAGTGGCAAAAATTATGATAACAATGAGGGGGAAGGAGATAGCAATGCCCAGATCCAAGCAAACAAACAAACAAAAAAGGCTGTACAAATTGGGAGGAGAACCACATACACAACTTTGATCTCATTGGATGAATGGTACAATGTATATGTAACCATTAAACATTAGTAACAGCAACAGTAATAAAACCTCAAACAGCTGAGGCTCAGAGGCAATTTGCCTCTATATACAGTACTATGCTGACAGCAGGCTGGGCTTGCCACGACCATCTTGTTAGCTACTGTGGCCGGGACTCTGTAGAGCCAAAGCACTCACATAGCACAAGTGGTGTGACTGTACAAAGAAAGTATCTCCTTGTGCAAGTTGGATAAGAGCAATAGCAGTAATTTCTGACGATGTAAGGGCAATCCTTGTGCAAGTAAGTAACTTGCACAAGTAGGGATTCTTGCATCGATGCACCAGCCTGGTGTTACACTGTGGCAGTGTCCAACAGAATGCAGGCCTACAGACTAGATAGTCATTTGGTCTGATTCCTAGGGTAGCTGATATGCACACCTTTTGACTGTGAAAATTGCATTAGGAAGAAAGCTGAGCAAGGAGCAATAGGAAGTAACAAGTAATCCATGTTCAGCAATGAAGCCCAGGCCTACAGACTAGATAGCCATTTGGTCTGATTCCTAGGGTAGTCAATATGCACATCTTTTGACTGCGAAAATTTGCATTAGGAAGAAAGCTGAACAAGGAGCAATAGGACATAACAAGTAATCCATGTTCAGCAATGAAGCCCATTTTATTTAGAACCTGCTGTATTTAAGCTCTCAGATACAATAGCCTATACAGACCCTGAGAATTCAGTAGTTCTTTCAGGGGGTATCCTGTGCTCCAAATGATTGTCATTTGCAACTCACCAATTCTGTGATCATAGTAGGCCAAAGAGAGGTCAGGTGCTGTGGAGACATTCTTAAAAGCAAAACCCGGAAAAACAGGAACACTTGGGAATGCAAGGTGGGCACCTGAGGCAGACGGAGACTTTCAACCAGACGTTCTGAAAGAGAGTCAAGATGGATTTGTTAGCTCAGAACTCTGTTGATGAGTTGACCTGAAACATAATTTAAGACAGTTTAACTGAAACAAGATTTCAATAAATTATATGGTTTAGTCAGTTAACTGATCAATTTAAGACAATGTCAGTGAATCTCATCTGAGTCACATGTGTATGTTCGTGCAGTTGCTTAGAATCAACCCCATCAATCTCCAGTGTGGTTGAGTGTGTGATAGAGCCATGTCAATTTTTCAGGAGGACAGAGTTGGATCCAGAGTTGATCAAAATCAGGTAAGACTCAGTGAAATAAACAGTACTCAAATTATTTCTATGTCAGTGAATTTCTTCTAAACATGGCTCAGAGGGTGACTACACAGGCATTCAGCCTCCTGCTTGGTCTGCTGTGGAGACAAGCAGGTTTGCTCCTTTGGCTGGTAATCAGACAACATATTTGCTGGAACAGCGGTACCCAACCTTTCTGGGACTGCGGACCATTTGGGGCGGACGGGCTCCATGCACAGGGGTTGTGTCGCACTCACATGCATGCGTGCGGGCAGGCAGGAGAGCCATCTCTGTGTCCCAGTTCCAGCTAAGCCCACAGACTGGCACTGGGCCGTGGACTGGGGTCGAGGATCCCTGTGCTAGAGGACACCAGCTCACCCCAGAGCATTCCTACCCACACCTTTCTGGGTCCCTGTCAGGAGCTGCTCTTTTTTCAGGTGCATGTAGGATCACTGAAGCACAGGGAGGAGGCGGTCAAAAAAAAAAACCCACAACACTTAGGGCAGTGTTGATGAAGTATATCCTTTAGAGAAAATTTAAAGAAAAATGGAAGGAGAGAGGAGTCATGAGGCACAAGGAGGGCCCTTTCTTTTTAGTTTTTCTTAAAGGAGGCTATTTGTTCTTCCAAGGATAAGTAAAGTGAGAGACACCTTGGTGGTACTTTTAAGCACCACTCTTTTGGCACTAACTGTCCAGCCCTCTTGGTCTCCTGGGATTGTCAGGGTTTGGGGCTCACTCTGCTCGGATGCTGGGTCTGCTGGCAACAGCCGTGGTGACGGTGGCAGCAGATTCTATTCAGGGTTAGTCAGGAACCTTGAAGGCAAAGGCTGGCTGCATCTTCTTCCCCACTCCCCATACCTTTAAAGGAGGTGGATCAAATGGGATCACTAGAGGTGCATAAGCCATGTGGAAATAAAGATTGCATCATAGGGCATCTGCAATGTCTACTTGATTTATTTAGCCCGTACCAACCTGCTCCAAAGGGACTGTGTAGTTAAGTCCTAGGTTTAGATGCAACTCACAGTGCATTTCCAGAGTCACCATAGCCAGATTCCTGCTGTCAGTTTATTCTTGCCCACGGCCACCAATGCAACTAACACCTTGTTAATAAGTGGGAACTTGCTGCTAAGACATGCATGATTGCCCTAACATAACTCTATAAACTGGCAATAGGATTCTGGTCAAGGATAACAAAAGCAATGGTATGATTCAGAGTCAATGATCAGGACATTTTCTCTACCGTTGGGTGCATGTGCAGAAACCTCAATGCAACCTGGAGCAGGTCATGCTCTCCAAAGCATTGGCAAAATGTAACTAACAAAGCATTAATAGATTTCCCCTTCACATGAAGAAGCTTCAAGAAACAAAACGTCTCCTTTCTTTCCTCCCTGCATAGCTCTCTAATTTGCTCCAGAGAGTTCCAAATCCTCTGGAGGAGATCTGTGGCCACTGAAGGACCTTCAGGAGGGAGAAGGAATCCATTCTTCTAGATGACAATGGTCCTGCTTGTGGACAGTCATAAGCAACAGTGTTTTGTTATGTTTTTCTGATGGAGTCCATGTTCTTATTTACCTTGTATGTCTGGAAGGTATTTCTGGTATTGGTCCACTTCACTACTAAAAATAGCGAAGGCCAGCCTCTTGAGAAGCATCGCCCGCTGCTCCAACTCAACATCCCGATTAGCAAACAGATTGAGGGAACTGCTCTGAGCTACAGCCACACGTGCTGAAGAAGGAAGAGCAAAAGAGTAAAGGTGTTGGCTGTGAAGGAAACCCTCCTAGCCAAGGCTATAATCCAGCAGGGAACTTTCCCCAAATCCCACTGTTCTCTCTCTCTCTCTCTCTCTCTCTCTCATACACACACACACACACACACACACACACACACACATCTCCCACGCCCCCTAGAAA